GTCAATTCATTGAGCAGATGTGAAGGTCGTGTTGAAGTCTATTACGCTGGATCCTGGGGGACAGTGTGTGATGATTCTTGGGATCTCAATGATGCAAATGTTGTGTGCCGGCAGCTTGGATGTGGATATAGTGTTGCAGCAAAGACCAATGCCTATTATGGTCAAGGCTCAGGAAATATTGTCCTGGATAATGTGAGTTGCAGAGGATGGGAATACAGTCTATGGGACTGTCCTCATTTAGGATGGCTCTCTCATAACTGTGCTCATTCTGAAGATGCTGGTGTCATCTGCTCAGGTAAATACCAAGAGTTTGCAGGTGACTTGCAGGTAAATGACCATGCTTTCCACCATATCTAAGATGTTTTTGAAAGTTACATTACAAAGTTTTCAAAATATGAAATACAGTTTTTGGAACTGGATCTAATATACTAAAAAGGCCACTTTTTTTACTTCCTCAAACATTAGTTCCATGCTTCAACCAGCCAGCCAGTTAGTTTCATGGTGAATGTGATTGTGCTAGCATAGAATAAAGATATACAAAAAAAAGGGGGGGGGGGGAGGGAAGCACCCCAGGATAGCCAAGTAATGATGATATTAGTCTGAAGTTCCAAAGGGCAGCATCTGTCGACCAGGGTTAGTTTTCCGTTCTGGTAACCTCACTTCCTTTGAAAGTACAATACTGCAGTGGTGATAGGGCCTGGAAATGGGATGTGGGAAACCTAGATTTTATTCATGATTCTGCCATGCCACTTAGCGTCTTTATGCCTCATTCACCTAAAAAGTAAAATAGGGATAATGAGATATACTCAACTTCATGAAGCACTTAGAGATCCAAAGATGAAAAACCTATTTAAGTTTCAGCCGTAATCTTTTGCCATCAAGAAAGGTAAAATTTTCTGGGAATTTTTTCATTTAGCTCAGTGGGAGTCAAGCACATTTTATGACGACCCTTATCAAGATTTTACAAACATGGTGTCTTCAAAGTTTTACTCTACTGGTTTTCAGACATAACATCCTCCAGGAAAGTCATGCAGCTTCGAATATCATTTCCCCTTAAAATGTTATAAATACATCCAAGTTAATACCAGATATTTTTTTCTTTCATTAGCAATTTCAAAAAATCATTTCTGGTTTGGATCAAAAACCAAATATATGAAAATTTCAGTAAATCAAAAAGTTGAGGAAAGTATGTTTCAGCTAATTCAAAACATTTTCTTTGAATAAAATCGCAATGTTTTGGTTTGATTTCACCTAGTTTTACAGGTTTGGTTTTTTGTTGTTTTTTTTTTTTAAAAAGGAAATTTTGAAAATAAATAAATGAAATATTTCTTTGACATTTTCAAAACCAAATATTCTTAGTGGGGTGTTTGAAATTGTAGTATAATTGAACAATGAATTGAAACTAGCATGAATTGTGCAATGTTTTGGTGTTGCCGAATCTGCAATTTTGATGAAAAAAGTTTTGGCCTAAAAATTTTGCTCAGCTCTACGGCACTCATAAATACTAAAAACTGTTTTTATAATTTCATATGTTTCTCCCTAGCTGCTGCTGGATATCCAGCTTCTCCATCAACGGGTAACTCATTACTTACATGTTATTCACCTTATCTAAAATTTTAATATGCTGAAATGAACATGTACAGGATCATCACTGAATTTTATTATGGACAGAGCTGGTAGCACCACTTATAGTTGAGGTTGAGTTAGTTCCATGGTGAATGTGATTTTGCTAGCATAGAATAGAGATATACAACAACAAGATACTGGTGTCATCTGCTCAGGTAAATACCAAGAGTTTGCAGGTGACTTGAAGGTCAATGACTGGCACAGAATATGTTTTCATCACGTCTAAGATGTTTGTGAAAGTCACATCGCTGAGGTTTCAATATATGAAATACAGTTTCTGGAACTGAATCCTATACTAAAAGGGCCACTTTCCTACTTCCTCAAACTTTAGTTCCATGCTTAAACCAGCTAGCAAGTTAGTTCCCCGGTAAATGTGATTTTGCTAGCATGGAATAAAGATATACAACAACAACAAAAAAGGGAGGGAGCGGGGGTAGCACCCAAGGATGGCCAAGTAATAATGATATTAGTCTGAAGTTCCAAAGGGCATCTCCTGTGAGTCTGGGTTAGTTTTTCGTTCTGGTAACCTCACTTCCTTTGAAAGTAGAATGCTGCAGTGGGGATAGGGCATGGAAATGGGATGTGGGAAACCTAGATTTTATTCATGCTTTTTCTATGCCACTTCGCTTCTCTATGCCTCAGTCATCCAAAAAGTAAAATAGGGATAATGAGACTTACTCAAGGTCATGAACCACTTAGAGATCCAAAGATGAAAGACCTATTTAAGTTTCAGCCATAATCTTTTCTCATTAAGAAAGGTAAATTTTGGGGGAATTTTTTTATTGACTTCAGTGGGAGTCAAGCGCATTTTACTATATTTTATGATTACTTTTCACAACATATTACAAACATGGTGTCTTCAAAGTTTTGCTCTACTTGTTTTGATACATAATATCCTCCAGGAAAGTCATGCAGCTTCTAATGTCATTTGCAGTTAAAATGTTATAAGTACATCCAAGCTACTACCAGAGTCTTTTTTCATTCATTAGCAATTTCATGCTCCAAGACAATAATAACTGAAACTATAACTTCTCATATTTCACCCTAGCATCTGCTGGATATACAACATCTCCATCAACAGGTAACTCATCGCTTACATGTTATCCATATTACATAAATTGTAATATGCTGAAATGCGCATCTACAGAATCACCACTGACATTTATTATAGGCAGAGCTCGTACCACCATTTATTGTTGAGGTTGCTTAACAGTTTCCATGATAAGATCCAAATTTTAGTTGCCTATTACTTTGCCAAACTTCAACCATTAAGGCTCAAATCCATTTGTCCCAGAGACTGATGTATTTTGGGAAGTTTCAGCTAAAACACTTCAGCTGCTTGAAAAATAAGACTAGGAAGACATGTTTTGCACAGGTTAAAAAAAATTCTTCCAGCTGT